CTAATCTTTTCACGACTTCCTTTACAAGATTTTGAAACATTGGTGAACTTTGCGTTTTTGGCTGCTTTTTTCTTTTTGCCGTTTCCTTTTTCAAAACATGTTTCTTCTTTGTGGATTTTATATCAAACAAATTCCTTTTGAATGAATTAAGTCTGTTCCAAATTACAGCATTCTAGAACAATTTTTGGGCGAGACATTCAGAAAAAAAGTTGTACAGTGGTTACTCCAAGGTATTTGTAGCAGTTTACAACCTCCACTTCCTCATCTGTAATAAGTAGTGATTGCGATTGGTCTTTTTTAACGATTAAGTATAAAATCATTAATTCCTTTGTGTTTTTCACATTTAGCAAAATGATACTATGGTTATCACACCAATTTGTAAATACAGTCAAACCTGTGTAAGACGGCCACCTCTATAAGACGACCACCAGTCTTATACGGCCACTTTTCTCCTTGACAAAGGGTGGCCGTCTTACACAAGTCTGACTGTACATTTACAGCGTCCCTGCATTCATTCTCATTCCTTGTCATAAAGCCTTGGGGAGTGGAAGCATCCGCAAATGATAGTTTTCCCTCACCGTGACCGGGCCCTATCTGTGACCTACTTTCTGATTGTGCCGACCGTCGGACAAATGAAAGATGTAAAAGTTCAAAGTTCAATAGTAGCCACATGTATTCTATACGGAAATACAGGGGAAATAATTGCCTATCTCAACATGCTGCTAAAAACAATCATTCTGCAGCCTAAGATTTCAGATTTGATTATTACAAAAGTAGGTGTGGTTTTGAGGCAGGAAGTGGAGAGCCGTGAAACATGGCTGTCGGTAGTGAAAGAGTTAAAAGTACAGTCGTTGGCGTAGAGCGTAAACAAGACAGGGGAGATTCCACTATTTTGGGTCGCACCGACAACTAGTAGAGAATATTTGTGAACCGAGCTGACAAAAGGAGTTACTTCTTGGATTCCTATGCGGTAAGGAAGTGGATACATCACACTTAATAATGAACTTTATACAATTTATAGGTATGAAATAATAAAAGACGGATTATAGTTAAAGGATATGTGACAGCAATAGAAAATCTACAAATTTGATCCTAATGTCAATTTTTGGCCAATATATCCATTTGTGGATTGCGAGAAGTAACTCATTTTGTCAGCATGCCTAACATTTGCTCACAGCACACACAATCTATTCTCAGAGACAAAATGTCAACCACAGTGAATGCACAGCATAGGGGAGTTAACCACGATATTTCTTTTGTAGCGTAATGTTTGCCATTGTTACTTCCCCTTGCCTCTGACCACTCACTGGGATGGACGGCTATGGTTTTTGTTTTAGTAAGAGTTTTACGGCACTTGCAACACAATAAGGTCATAGAAGTGCCGAAGATTAGAGGTGTTACAAGAGAGTTACAAACACAAAAAAAAGGAGGAGAGATCTGGAAGATAGATGTTTGATAGGACAGAAGGAGAAAAGCACACCAGAGCACCTGCCAACCACCCACGACAGCTATGGACTGTTGTAATTGTCACAAGACATTGCAGAAATCTCCTCTTCTCTGCTACAGCCACTCGCCAGAACCATAGCTAACAGCTACAACGACAACAGCAGAACCATAGCTAACAGCTACAACGACAACAGCAGAACCATAGCTAACAGCTACAACGACAACAGCAGAACCATAGCTAACAGGTACAACGACAACAGCAGAACCATAGCTAACAGCTACAACGACAACAGCAGAACCATAGCTAACAGCTACAACGACAACAGCAGAATCATAGCTAACAGCTACAACGACAACAGTGTGACATCCTCCTTACCTCTATAGCGACCCTCCACGGCTCTGGTCTCCGAGTCCACCACTGTGTCACTGCTCCGGGCTGCACTGGCTTCGGCCATGTTGTACTAGGATCTGGCTGTAGCCAATGAACTGTCAGTGTTTACCTGAGAAACAGATGAGACAGTTTAGCAATCTGTGAGCCAAAGCTGTCCATTTATAGTAAACTGAGAGGCAGTGAAATCATATCACTTTTATCAACTTGAAAGTTCAGCGGAAAAATAAAACAGCGTGCCATTGGTGATATGTATGGACTCGGGGATTGTCAATATTTCTACAAGTATATTTATTTCTCCAAAAACTGCCGAGTGAAACAAGGATTGGGAATTCCTCAATCATGTGTGAGTACGAGAAAATGGTACTCCATACGTCAAACGAAAGAAAACATAGGCTGAGTTTGAAAAGACCGATGTAGAGTCCCAGCAAAACACAATTCAGTAACAATTACTGACAATTGGAAGAAATTGTAGCGTTTAACGCCTGAGCTCGATGCCACGTTTAACGAAAAATGAACGAAACTGAGCAGTAGGAATGCTCTCTGTCGGCTGTGGCACTCAGTAAGTTGCTAGGCAACTTGGCCGCCACCAGTCAACCATTGTCGTCGGTCTTTCCGATCGGCTTTGATCAAGAAATGTTTCCCACAGTCAGGACACTCTGAAAGATTAGACAGCTACATGATAGCAAGAATCGTGGTGGGCTCCGTTCATCTCTTGCCTTCTATCAGTTTACTTTGTTGACTTACCTGATTTTGTTCTCCCAAAACCTTGGAAAATTAACCAGTGTAGAAACAAACTGGTGCCAATTTTGTGGGACTTGCTCCCCATTTTTCCTACCGACATCGCCATTCCAAAGAGCGCGCTGATGTTGTTGGCTCATACATGATCCTCATGAAGAAGAGATCATTTTCTCAACAAAGTCTTTTGGAGAACAAAGGGCAGAGGAAGAGCACGACTGTGTAAAGCTGTTGTATCACCATGTGTAAATAGTCACTTTATTACGGCTGTCCACTGGTCTCTGAGTCACAAAGTTATCACCATGTGTAAATACTCACTTTATTACGGCTGTCCACTGGTCTCTGAGTCACAAAGTTATCACCATGTGTAAATAGTCACTTTATTACGGCTGTCCACTGGTCTCTGAGTCACAAAGTTTTCACCATGTGTAAATACTCACTTTATTAGAGGTAACAGACTGCTTTCTTTACCAACAGCTGATGACGAGGGATTGCGTGGATATCTATCCTCAGAGATAAACATTGGCAGTATGAGAACGACGTCTCTCGTGTCTGTCACAACTAAGAACCAAAACGAGCCGCTGTCAGTATTTTACTGGGTAAATGTCAATGTGATTTGTTCCCCTTGTCGAGGAATCAATGCGCCCTCTGTCAGTGACATGATGTTTCTTGGTTATAAGAGCGGAGAAACTCGCACAACAAGGCCACAACAAAAGAATTCATTGAATCGAAATCAGTTCATAGTCAGCCAGCGCAGTGAGCACACAATGTGAGAATGCTCCACCGCATGTTTTAGCTCATTCGTTGACCGTCCATTTTCCCACGGATCTCTATTTGCCTTACAGCCAACATGGCCGGCCTTCAATGCTAGAGCTAGCCAGCGGGTGACATGGCCTGATCTAACAACTGGCCTGATGTAACAACTGGCCTGATGTAACAACTGGCCTGATGTAACAACTGGCCTGATGTAACAACTGGCCTGATGTAACAACTGGCCTGATGTAACAACTGGCCTGATGTAACAACTGGCCTGATCTAACAACTGGCCTGATCTAACAACTGGCCTGATCTAACAACTGGCCTGATCTAACAACTGGCCTGATCTAACAACTGGCCTGACCTAACAACTGGCCTAGCCTGAAACGCACTCACTTTTGGCAGGATGGCGAATGAACCCCGCGGCATTTTTGAACGAATGGACCCATCAATGGAGGCCGGGTCAGATCGAAACTTTTTTTAAAATGTTGAAGAAAATGACAGCGATGCTGACTCAAGATGTGTTGAGGGTTTAGGGTTTAGTGGAAGGCTGAAGGATTAGTAACGGCGGACATAGCAATCAAAAACTTGGTTAGGCCAAGTACATGCGTTCCACGTTATTTACCGATCAGTGCAATCTTAAGATTGAGCTGCGTGTTTTAACGATCATATAATTGCCCGTCCCCGTGGTTTTATGCAACCAGCATAATTTAGCAAATTTGATCATTTTTTGCACAATTTCTGATTATTGTCCTTTATCATTCTTTGTGAAAATTAACAGAATCGCAAAATTTCACACTTTTGGGCTCTTGCATAATTTCAGAATTTGTCTTGCATAAAATGACGGGGACAGAATTGCGCGGATAGCGCTGCGCGTTTTAACGATCTTATAATTGTATCATTCTTGTGAGCTCTTCAGTTTCATATGTTAATTTTAATTTTAATTTTCATATTTTTACACTTTTGAAAATAAATGTGAATGTTCCTTGATACTTGATGTAATAGAAAAAAGATGAAAGTGAATTTTTTAAAAATTATTTCAAAAATATATAATAAATTAAATGTACTTGGAAAACTTTGAGTATGATACCTGGCATTGTATCATTCTTGTGAGCTCTTCAGTTTCATGTGTTAATTTTGTTTGTGTTAGTAAGGTTTTATGGCGCTCACAACTACATAAGTTCATATGAGCGCAAGTAGAGGAAAATGACTATAATAGGGATGAGGAAAGAAAAAGCAACATGAGTTCCCTCTATGTTGTTCCGGCATGACATTGATAAATCAGCCCATTTACAATTCTGCTGAACATATTAAGAACATGTTAATGTTAATATCCCCCCTTTTGGAATGGCCTAAATACACTTCAGTCAGTGGCACCGCCCGGAGGGGGGGGGGGGGGGGGGGGATGGGGATATTTTGATTTTAATTTTCATATTTTTAAACTTTTTCAAATATATACATGAGGCATCGTGGTGAAATCAGCCGCTCGTCAAAATAAAGAAATGCAAGAAATCGGCACTTTTCAGCCAGTTTGGAAATTTTTGTCGAATTTTTGTTTTTTGATGGAACATCTTGTGAGTCTATTCAAAATCACTTTTATGTGTGGATCTTACGGAAATAACGTTGACTATAGGCACAACAAATTTTAATTTGCAGTTTCCAAGGACTCTTAAGCTATGAAAGTCACCAACTTTGGTGGCCATTTTCTCGCTAATTTTACCTCTGAAACCAGTAACGACCCTCACCTCCTTCAATTGCAAATATCTCGACTTCTATTCAAGATAAATGGATCCTTTTTTCATGGAAAGCAAGGCAAATGAACACCTTTAAGATGATACCAATAGCTCCATATATGCCATAAAATTGCCGAGCGCCTGATTCCACTGCGTCGTGACACACAGGTGAATGTTCCTTGATGTGAGTATAAAGATGGAAGTGAATTTTTTTTTATTATTTCAAAAATATAAAATAGTAGCTACGCAATCTTAAGATTGCCAAGCAATTATACGATCGTTATAACGCGCTGTGGAATCTTAAGATTGCACATATCAATAATTAGCGCAGAACACAGTTTCATTTCTTAAAATTTGTTTTGTTTTGTTTTTTTCAAAATTTTGACACATTTACAAGAACAAAAGATAAAAAATAACCACTCAAGTGATCTCAAAAAATTCTTTTGCTTATCCAGTGCAGTGGCCTATGTTTTATATATTGCTTTTTGCATGCTAAATTTCACTGCTGGTATAAAATAAGGTTCCATGTTTGTTGTTAGTTTTTTAATGTGGTAACTAAAATGCCTGACACAGATCTATATATATTCGGTGATCTTGTAGATCTATATATATAAGTTCCCTTCGTTAAAGTCCACCACCCATTTGTTTACATCCAGAGAAGAAATCCGAAAGTCTTGATGACCAACAGGCATCACAAAGAACAGGGATGCAACAACTTAACTGCAAAACATCAAATTATTGTAAAATTCAGGGGGGCATGACCCCTGAACCCACCTTCCATAAATTTAGGTCAGGGGGGCATGAAACCCCCCTACTCTTGACTCTTGGGGCCCAAACCGGCGAATAATAATTGAGGGTGGGAACTGCCGAAAAGGGGCCTTTCTTTGCTTAAATTTTGATTTTCTCCTCAACGATTACCTGGCAAATCAGGGTCTCTGGCGTTCAGCTTTGGGCTTTAACGAACGAAACAACAAAATCGCCCTATTCTTCTGATGTTGAGCAAGATAAATAAATTACGCAAGTATAAGTAGGCACATAAAAAAGTACAAAGTAACTCCGTGGGAGTGAGTTTAAAAAAGAAAAAGAAAAAGAAAAGAAAAAAAAACCCCCAAGTTGACGTAAGGACCAGTGATTTCCGCGAAATTGCTTCAATTATTTAGGGCCTAGGCCTATGATCTATTATGCCTCCTACTGAAAGAAACAAGCGATAGATCTAGATATCTGGAGACTACTGGATCTTGAGAGGGAAGACACAAATTCATTCGTCAAAGTCAAACCTCAACTTAACAGACGGCAAATTCCGGGGAGGAAGGCAAGCACTGAGATGTTTTACGGCTGTCCACTGGTCTCTGAGTCACAAAGTTTTCACCATCGACGTCTGCTCCAGGCCTCATAGCAAAGATAGTACAAGTACAGCCTACGGTAAGATGCTGCAGCCCCCTCTTTCCCTCAGTAAAAAAAACGTAGCACGCGTAAAATAGGCCACGCCCCCAGCGAGCGTGTGACTGAGCCCCGATGGCTTGGCCCTGGGTTTGTTGGACAGAGTAGAATATGAGAGCGTCCTAGTTAATTCTACTCTAGGGCGCATTCTAATCTAGATCTAAATAATTATATAGATCTATCTACCAAACTAAAGTATTGATCAACGTATTTCAATAATTTATCTAGAACTAAATTA